ATGTCCTCACGTAAGATGGGTCCACCCCTTAGTCGACGAGCGCTGACAGTATGACATCAGTCTCTACGGTGTGAAGCGCTTTCTTGTAGTCGACGAAGGTTAGGACGAGAGGTAGGCGGTACTCTCGACAAACCTCGATAATTCTCGAAACTGTCTGGATGTGAACCACGCAGCTGAATCCATCGCGAAAGTCGTGGTGGTATTTCTCCAGTGGGGATAACGGGGTTAGACACGGGTGTTGACGAGCGAAAGAGGTCGAGAACCTCTTCGTAATCGATTCCATCTTTTGTCGGAAAGATGTGTGAGTCCTGTCTCCGTTTGGTAATGTTACCTGCGGAACACGTTAGTCGAGAAGGTCCCTGCGGCACTTTAGACCTCTCCTTCCTTGTGCTGCTTCTAAAAGTCCTGACTGTACTTTGGAAGATCTTCTTGCAAAGCTGTTCTGCAGTTGTTATTGGCTAACGGGTCTCGAGATGTGCTGCAGTCAGATCTAGCCCCGGGGCTCTCCTCTTCTCTAGCAGATCCTTGGTGGCTTTCGAAATTCGTTCCAAGTTCCTTGCGCGAGGCATTGAGGCACTTTCACCACAGGTTCTCGGTTCTCTAAGACGCAGATCGTAGTCCTTTATCGGGCCCTCCTCTATTTCACAAGTCGCAAGCGGTCAGGATCCAATCTGACGCTGTTATATATGCCTTCTCTCCTTCCTCCAACACGGTAACAGATTTTTCCAGCTTTCCGCTGAATCGCACTTTTGCTCGAAGGAGGCGGTGATCTGAGCCATCACTGAAGGATGGTACCACTGAGACGTTTAGTAAGCACCACCTTCTGTCGTACCGTTGGGTTACTCTTTTGCCCACCGCTGGGATCTTTCTCCATGAAGATGGAGTTTCCATGAAAATTGCAGTTGTTTACTCCGAATTTAAGCTGCAATATATAGTTAAAATTAGATTTTGTTTAGCTTGCATATTAGGCCATCAAATAACACTAGGTTAAATACTCAACAAAATTTAACGGTTTCAGAAAATTTTACAGTAACCAAGAAATGCTTTGTGAGTGAAGGAAAACCAATTTGATTACAACTGTATGGATTTTTGTGATCCGTCAAGCATGCAGAAAATTAAAATAGATCAGTACCTGATCGTAGAGAAACTTTTGGAAATGTTGGAAAAAAGAGCATGGCATGTGTGGGACCGACAAAACATACAGCAAGTTATTAATTAAAAGGTAAAAACAGAACTTTTCCACATCTTCATAAATCTGTTTTTCAAAAAAAAAATCGCGTCT